CTCACGGCGCCGGCCTGGGAGGCGTCACCGCCTCCTGCGCCCGCGGCGACCGCTGGTGGAGGAGTGCGACGGCGACCGTTTGGGATATAGCGGCTCCAAAGTTTCGTCTTCCTTTGATGAACCCCATTCGCAGAGCTTAACGCGACGGCAGTGACGTCTGAATGGCTATGTCTTGTTTATCCTTGAGCCGTTTCTGTACGCGCCAAAACTACGTATTATAGCACTTCACATGCTTACCAAGTGCTCTGACTTCAAACGCCCTCGGATTTGGGCCGTGTGGTTCGATTATGTGTGCCATGCAGTGCGCAGTATTTCTGCGCCATCATCGCTTACAAACGCAACGATTTTGGGTACTGGCAGTGTCCTAGCAGTCTGCAGCCCAAGTTTTCTTTGGAATAGTCATCAAGTGTGGTATGTGCACAGTTCAGCGAGTTTTTCATCAGCTGACAACGATGATGGAAGTTTTGAGGCGTGCTCTAGGATAGAGATCTTGTCCTCGTTTCACGTCTTGCACTGCTATATAACCAGCATATGAACACTTCAAACGTCGAAATCAAACGGGCTCAAGTCTCAAGTGAAAGTGTGTCGAATCCAAACCCGTTCCCATTCCACTGTGTTCTGCAAACCCGTCCCATCAAATCAGAACGGCTGTGCGTCGCTGGACAGTGCAGTGGACGCCTCGCTCGTGGAAGACGACTGCTGCGTCCAGTTGCATCTACAGACTCGAGTGTGGCCGTTTCAGTTCATGTACGAGACGCCGTTCACGCGCGGCGGCGGTCCACGCGGCCCCGTGGAACAGCAGTGGCGCCGGCGCACTGTGCTCACCACCGACTACTGCTTCCCCTACGTGCGGACGCGGATACCGGTCATCCGGCGCCAGGTGTGTGTGCGGTGACTCCGTCAGTCTGATGCACAGCTGGGCCTGGGAGCCGTCGCGTCTCGCAGAAATACAGCACATTGTGGTGTGTTGACTGGTGTGTGGACGCATGTGGACTAGGCGGGTAGCAACGTTGGGGCACGGGCGTCAGTGTCGACGCCTGTCGATAGAGCAGCGGCCGCTGCTGAGCGGCGGTGGCCGGTGACCCCGGCCGCCGTGTCGCGTCCGGCCACGCCGACCGACCCCCGTGCGCTGCTGACCTGTGGCGGGCGCGCGCGGCAGGAGTACGAGCTGTCGCCGATCGAGGTGGCCATAGACGAGATGACGCGGCGGTCCAGGGAGCTGGTCGAGGTGGTGGAGCGCCAGCCGACCGACGTCAAGAAGCTACAGCTGCGGCTGCAGGTGAGGCAGGGCGGCGCCGGCCCGGTCGTCAGCTGGCAGGCCCGCCGCTGCTGACCGTGGTGTCCCGATGACAGCCCCTCTTACAGGCAGCCGGCTTGGAGTTGCCATTGGGTACTTGCGTTTGTGGTGGCCGTGCTGTTGGCCGGTCTGCGATGGTTTACTAACGCTGCATTTCAGTTCAGCCAGCTGGCGACCGATGGCAATCAGTGTTGCCAGTGTTTGGCGATATTCGGATAATCACTGGTCCGTAGCCCGTCGGCAGGAGAGTGGTGACTATCACTCCGAACAGTCGGCCCCTGGCGGCCGTGTTGCCGCCGAGGCAGCGTCAGCTGTCGGTTTTCACACTGGATGACTGGTGGGCAGCGCGCGCGTGCGTGCGTAGCAGCGTGCCGGTGACTGCGTGCCCATGTGGCCTTCAGGACAGCGCGTTTGCGACTGTATGTGTCCGCGTCGCCTAGGGCAGCGCTACGGTGGCTGTGTGTGCCCGTGTCACCCCCAGGTCAGCGTGTCGGTGGCTGTGTGCGCCCGTGTCGCCCCTAGGGCGGCGGGTCGGTGACTGCGCGTGCCTCCAGGACAGCGCATCGGTGACTGTGTGCCCGTGTCGCCCCCAGGGCAGCGTGTCGGTGGCTGTGTGCGCCCGTGTCGCCCCTAGGGCGGCGGGTCGGTGACTGCGCGTGCCTCCAGGACAGCGCATCAGTGACTGTATGCCCGTGTCGCCCCCAGGGCAGCGTGTCAGTGACTGTGTGTGCCCGTGTCGCCCCCAGGGCAGCGTGTCGGTGGCTGTGTGCGCCCGTGTCGCCCCTAAGGCGGCGGGTCGGTGACTGCGCGTGCCTCCAGGACAGCGCATCAGTGACTGTGTGCCCGTGTCGCCCCCAGGGCAGCGTGTCAGTGACTGTGTGTGCCCGTGTCGCCCTCAGGGCAGCGTGAGCGTCCAGGTGAACGCCGGCCCACTGGCGTACGCGTCCGCCTTCCTCGAGGAGAGCGTGCGCGCCTCCTTCCCGGGTGACAAGCTGTACCAGCTGAAGCAGGCGTTCCGCGAGTTCGTGGACGCTTGTCAGCGGGCGCTGTCACTGAACGCGCAGCTGCGGGCCGACGACCAGGCCGACTACCATGGCTCGCTAGAGGCCGGCTTCCAGGACCTGGTGGCCGCGCTCGGGCTCATCGTCGGCGAGAGCTTCCCGGTCAAGACGGAGCTGGCGCGGCACTCGCAGCATCTCAGCGGCCTCTTCCTGCTGAGCAGCATGACCGGCTCCAGCTCGGTCTGAGCTCAGCTCAGCTCCAGCTCCAGCTCCGACTCAGCCTCAGCTTCGACGTCGTGCCAGCTCCAGCCCCAGCAGCGTATCTCAGCTCCAGCTTCGTCTCGACTCGGCGACTTCGGTGTCAGCGCCAGCTCCGTGGGAGCAGCAGCTTCGGGCTCGGCTCGGCTCGGCTCGGCTCGGCGCAACTCGGCGTCAGCCGCGGCTCCAGTTCCGGGCGCCAGTAGGTCGCTAGGTGTGGTGTTGGGGCGGTCGCCGGGCGGGCTGGCGGCCTGTGCTGTCACCCGCTGAGAGAGGCGACGCACTGTTGACAACGCACGCCCCCCCCCCCCCCCGCTCGAAGGGATGCGCTTCCTGTGTGCCTGCCGTTACTTTCGGCAAAGAGCTACGGTCTTGTGCTTGTCCTTGCTCTTGTTGCGTTTTGCGAACTGGTGCCAGAAATAATCGTGCAATTGTTGGTCAGCAAGCGCATGTGCCTGTGCGTCTATGCGTGCGGTTTTGTGATAATGGCTTATAGCATCCATTTCACCAAGACTCTTTGCCCAATAATTCGCTGGTGTATGTAACTTTGATGAGAGTGATGGTGTAATGTATCTGCCATTTGCGTATTTATTTTAGTCTACCATGGTGACACTATTTAACTCGGTAACTCATTCAGTCTCGTGTTTCTTGTTACCGCGGGCCCCTTTTGGCTTTTACTTAACGGACCGGCCACGTGCCGGTGATGTGATGCGCCGTATCGGGGTACCACACCCAGCCGACGCAGCTCGTGGACGGAGCGCTCCGGCGGGCCGCCTGCTGTCGTCAGGCGCCCCACCCCCTGTCCGTGGAGTGTGGGCCCCTGGTGGCACGCGCCGCCGCCGCCCAGCGGAATACAGCGGCAGGAGGGACTCAGTGTTTGTCGAGGACTTGGAAATGGAGTGGAGTTGGTTGGTGGGACACTAGTTATGGTCCCCCAGATCTGCAGCCACGAGGCAGGAGGCTGCACCAAGTGCCATCCATAAATTACGTTCACATTTTTTACCCCGTTTCTCGTGGTTGCGCTCTGGTTGCGCTGGGCGGAAGCTACTCACCTGGGTTAGGAATTATGTCATAGAAACATTAAGTTCTTTTGGCACCTTATTGAGCTGGATGTACGAAACTCAGGTGGGCGTGCTGCTTATGATAACTGATTTCCGGCGGCGAGGCTAGTCTATGTGATCAGCTGAAGCTGATGGCTTATGACTAATGCAGAGTTTTTGATTTGACTGCAATGAGGAAGTGCAAAACGCCCCAGCATTCGCAATGTGTTAAGAGAGTAGTGTACAGTTAAATCAGTATCAAAAATTCAATAGCCAACGGAAGTGACGTCGGCCAGCAAGTCTTTTAGGCATGTGCATGTACAATTGCATCAGAGCATACCCAGCTGTTGCTCTGTGCTGCGCTGACGCTCACAAGTACACGTGGGGCTTCCGCTAACAGGCCTCCTTGATTTCACCAGCAGAACCCAAAACCAATGAGGGCCCTGGAGCAAGCAAGAGTGCTCCAGCCGCGTAACATTTAGGTCCCTGTCAACAGCCGATTTTAGGTCTGATGAAATGGGAACACCCAAGGCGAGGAGACGACATCTCGTGAGTGACCCAGTGATCGCGGTTGCAATAGTAGGTCCCCAAAGAGGCTCCCGTTAACAGTGTAGGGTCTTCCGAGCAAGCCAGAATAATTCAGGACCAAAGTGGTGCGCCCCTGAACGATTGGGAATTCCCTGGCAGTTTTAAGCAGAAATATCCGAGCAAGCGGGAAGAACTGCCAAGGCCAGTGCACATGCATCAGTGCTCCTGATCGATCAAAGGCGCCTTGAAAGATGAAGGTACAGTGCTCCCGACAATAGCATAGAACCCTCCGAGCAAATGGGAAGCGTCCAGGGCCAATGTGGCGGACTCCTGTACGATCATGGGTGCCCGGGCAGGTTAACGGAAAAATCCCCGAAAAGAGAATAGTGTCCTCGCAAATGAAGTCAAATGAAAAGAACCCTAAGCTATTGTAGATAATTTCAAGCATCGAGTGCCTCGGTAATTTACCTTGCATGCCCCCCCCCCCCCCCCCCCCGTAACAGCGCATGGTCCTCCGAACCCGAGACCAATGTGAACGACCCCTGAGCAATCGAGAGTACCACGGCACGCTGAACGGGTGAGCCTAATATAATAGCAACAAGTACGGTGGATACATGACTGGGCCGTGTTTGGATGTGTTTTAGCGTTGAGCTACTGGTCGCATTACTGCTCACGAGCTAGCATGGTCCTAAACTTAACAGCTTCCGTAAAAGTTGCATTTTCTGAGCTCAGGCAGACGATTAGGCTGGCCGACTTCGCGCAATTTTGAGATCTCGCTGGCAAAATGCCGCGCTAGTTTCAGTCATGGCGCACGATATTCTTTAATGATGAGCGGCAGGCTCCTAGCGAGGGCTCCTGGCCCTACTCACTGACAGTTCAAGACCATTAGGGAAGGCGGCGTGGGTGTGAATCCACAACAAGACGCGGACGTACCTAACCTTTGAAGGCAGGGTTAGCGTGTCATTTATATACCTTCGGATCATTTGCTTCAACATAGCAGCAGGATGCAGGATTGCCTTGGATCCAGGTTTGTGCTCTTGTACAGGTTGGGATGTGATGGCTTAGACACTTGTGATCTGAAAACAAATATCACTATCTTCCTCTTGTGTCAGGTATCTGGTTAATGGTATTGCATGTCTTATTGGTGTCAGTAAAAAATTGGGAAATGGCCAATAGTTGTGTTACCTTGTGTGTTGTTCGGTCTAAAACTATGCTTGTGCAATATCTAGAAATCTAAAATTGGTCTCAAATACAGCTGTTCAGGCTTGGCTCTAGATTTTCTTGATCCATGTAAATTTTTCAATTAATACCACATTGTGCAATGCAGTAATACATTTGATTAAAGGTTCTGTTGGTATTGATAAACATGTGAATATTGTTGAGCAAGTCTGGTCCCGCAAAATATGATCGGCCCTGAAATAATTTATTTTGTGGCATTCATTATCACTTCATATAGTCAGGTGGCTGAATACAATTTATAAAGCCAGCTATTGGCCTGGGATTCATTTCACCAAGCTGGGTATCTGTGTGGCCCATCCATAAACATGATGATTAGCATGGCAACCTGCTAGAAATGGTCAACTTAATGCAGGCACCTGTTTCATAGCATGCTGCATTGATAAGTGCAACATATATCTATCTTCACCTGGCTGGATGGTGGGTTGAATATAAAGTTACCAGCTGTGCATGACATGTGGGCTGAGCTCAATACTGTCTTTATGTTTGGAAAACATGTCTTTAGTAACAAAATTGCATTTATTTATCTCACTTCACATAAGACACCTTTGATAATATGTTATTCTAAATGTTGTGCATGCTATCTTTTCTAGGTCAATTCAGAATGTTGACATCATTGCTGAGAAGGCAAAGCTGCAAGTTGCAGAACTTTTGCCCAAGGCACAGACCCTGTATTTTGCTAAGGGCTGCCTTTCAAATGCATCACAGATGACATTGGTTGAAGCTGACAACCACATCTTGGAACATGTTGTACAAGGAGGCAGGTGAGTGGTGATTTGTGTGAATCATGCCAATCACACCACAGCTTCACTGTTATTGTGGCATAAGCCAGCTGGTGAGGTGAAATCTTCTTCATTGAATACATTGCTTTTTTGGCACCTAACCTCAAGCATGCTATGCAATCTGACCATATGCAACCATAAGTGTAGGGTCCATGATGCGGCCAGATAATGCAATACCATCAGGGGAGGACTCTGCATGGAAATAATGTCAGGAGCTGTATGAACCTCCAGCCAGCCTGCATCTCATGATGATTTTTGGGGAGTTCCTTTGGCCCACCTATCCTGTGAGCCTGCCTGGGCCCTGGTCCACCCTGGGGGCCAGCTGGCACTTCAGCCTATCTCTTCTCCATGGCCTGAGCTCTGCTCTGGCACATGTCCATCATGTGTGCCAGCCCCAGCTCTGACCCATCCATACCCTGTGTGACAGCCCCCTGCTCCTGCCCATCTGTATGCTGTGTGCTGGCCCTCTACTCCAGCTCATCTGTACTTTGTGTGCCAGCTCCCCGCTCATGCCTGTCTGTACCTTGTGTGCTGGCCCTCTACTCTGGCTCATCTATACCTTGTGTGCCACCCCCCTGCCCCTGCCTGTCTGTATCCTGTGTGCCAGCCCCCTGCTCCTGTCTGTCTGTACCCTGTGTGGTGGCACCACTCCATCAGTCTGTACCTTGTGTGCGGGTGCTGTTCCATCAGTCTGTATCTTGTGTGCTGGTGCTGCTCCATCAGTCTGTACTGTGTTCTGGTGCTGTTCCATCAGTCTGTACCCTGTGTGCTGGTGCAGCTCAGTCAGTCTGTACCCTGTGTGCCAGCCAGCCCCTGCTCCTGCTTATCTGTACCCTGTAGAGATCACCCTGTATGCCAGAGATCACCCTGTGTGTCAGAGCCACACCATCAGTTTGTACCCTGTGTGCTGGCGCCGCTCCATCAGTCTGTACCCTGTGTGCCAGCGCCGCTCCATCAGTCTACATTGTGTGCCAGAGCTGCTACATCAGTTTGTACCTTGTGTTCTGGCCCTCTGCTCCAACCCATCTGTACCCTGTGTGGTGGCACCATTCCATCAGCTTTACACCGTGTGCCGGCGGCGCTCCATCAGTCTGTACCCTGCGTGCCAGTGCCGCTCCATCAGTGTGCAGGCTGTGTGTGTGTGTCGGCACTGCTCCATCAGTCCGTACCCTGTGTGGCAGAGCCGCTACATCAGTTTGTACCCTGTGTGCTGGCCCTCTGCTCCAGCCCATCCATACCCTGTGTGCCGGCGCCACTCCATCAGTCTGCACGCTGTGTGCCAGCGCCACTCCATCAGTCTACACTCTGTGTGCTGGCGCCGCTCCATCAGTCTGCACTCTGTGTGCCGGCGCCGCTCCATCAGTCTGCACTCTGTGTGCTGGCGCCGCTCCATCAGTCTGCACTCTGTGTGCCGGCGCCGCTCCATCAGTCTACACTCTGTGTGCTGGCGCTGCTCCATCAGTCTGCACTCTGTGTGCTGGCGCCGCTCCATCAGTCTGCACTCTGTGCTGGCGCTGCTCCATCAGTCTGCACTCTGTTTGCCGGCGCCGCTCCATCAGTCTGCACTCTGTGTGCTGGCTCCGCTCCATCAGTCTACACTCTGTGTACCGGCGCTGCTCTGTCAGTCTGTACCCTGTGTGGCGGCACCACTCCATCAGTCTGTACCCTGTGTGCCAGCGCCGCTCCCTCAGTCTGCACTCTGTGTGCCGGCGCCGCTCCATCAGTCTGTACCCTGTGTACCGGCCCCCTGCTACGGCCCGTCTGTACCCTGTGTACCGAGCCTCTGCTCCGGCCCGTCTGTACCCTGTGTGCTGGCCCCACTCCGTCAGTCTGGTGATCCGCGGCGAGCCGTCGGACGCGGCCGTCATCTGCACCGGCCAGCGGACGTACGAGGTGCGGGAGGCCGAGACGTCCAACGCGCTGCTGCTGCTGGACACGCTCAGCTGGCCGGAGGAGGTGGCCGCCGACCAGCCGCGACACGTCACCGACCGGCAGGTGGGACATGGCCGCTCACCATGGCCGCCATCACGGACCAGCAGGCCGGAAATGGCGGTCCGACAGGTGTGATGGGCCAACAGGTGGGACTTGATACATTGTCAGTAGATGAGTGGAACGCGCCACCTCAACGGCCTGTTACGTCAATGTGGTTATCAAGGCCGACCGCAAACGTCGACGTTTGACGCCTGGTATACGTGCACCGCACCCGCCGCTGGCGCCTCGCCTGCTGACGGGAGCCGCGGCGGCGGGCGGCGTCCTGAGTCTCCCCGCCCCCCCCCCCCCCCCCCCCGACAGGTGCAGGGCACGTTCGGCACGTACCTGGAGCTGCGCGAGTGTCGCGCGCGGCTGCGGCGGCTGCGGCGGCTGCTGGCGGCCGAGCCGTACGCCGGCCGGCTGCAGCCGGGCCGCGGCTTCACGGCCGCGCAGCTGGCGCACACGGTCCAGGCCAGCGACGCCGAGCTGGAGGCGGCGCTCCGGCAATGCCACGCCCTGCTGATGGACGGTACGCCCGGCGGCCGCGCGGCCGGCTCGACACGCTCCACTCCACTCCGGTCTCGGTGCTGCGGTCAGAGGGGACAATGCTGCTTTTGCAGCAAACCGATGCGGTCCTAGGTCAAGACAGATGTGGTCGTCGTCTCGTCCGATACAATGCACCAAGCCATCGCACGCCGGTTTTGTCGTGCCTGTCTGCATACGTATCGACACAAAGGCGGATTTTGGCGCACATCCCCTCTGTGAGTTTAACTGGCTTGAGAACGTAGTTCAATGACGAGACATCACGTGGTTTTGACTACTGAAAAGGTGATCTGTAGGTGGCATCTGATCGGTGTTCCAAGATTGCCTTCATTGATTTTTTCAGTAAGTTCATGTAAACTGCATGTTTTATACATATTGCTGTGCATATTGAACACAGTCTGGAAATGCTACGCAGACGTGATCAGCACGTGGATGTCTATGAAGTATCTCCCCCCCCCCCCCCCTTCGTCAGTCACAATGATTGTTCGCCATTCTGAGTCGCCCTTTAATTCGACCAGACCTGGGTGGTTTCCTGTGGTGTATTATGCATGTTCCAAAAACTGTCGGCCTGCCTCGGACTTGTGTGACGACACACCCCAGCGTCACGTACAGGGGCTGTCTTAACTGTTCTTGTATCTGACCATCCAGCTGCCTCTGACCATCCGACCGCGTCTGACCGGCGCGTGTGACGTCACAGGCCAGTACCGACAGCTGGAGTGCGAGTACGAGTTCCACGTGTTCAGCCTGGTCATGAAGTTCATCGACGAGAACTCGTGGTCGGCCGACGCGGTGCGGCGGCCGCCGACGCTGGAGACGCTCTCAGAGCTGGAGCCGGAGGCCGTGGTGACCGCCTGCTTCGACCGCTACCTGCGGCCCGTCACCGAGCCGGCGGAGCAGCCAGGTGCGCAGCCAGGCCCTGCTCTGACCTGACCTGACCTGCCCTGACCTGACCTAACCTGGACTCGAGGACTGAGCCAGTTTGGGGACGTTTGAGCGCTGCCCAACAGCTTGTATCTCGCTCGAAAGCGTTGCCCCAGCTGCCGATGCTCACGTCTAAGTCGCTCTAACGTGCGGAACTGTCCATGGAGAAGCGTAGCATATAGCGACGCTGGCGCCCTCAGATAAACTCAGTTGGCGGCGTGTTGGCACCTTTTTTCCGGCTCCTTTAGGCACGCTGTAGCAGCCTGTTCTCTGCCGTCGCTGCTGCAGCCTGCGGTGTGTGCACAGCTGCCTTACACTCCGCCGTGCGTCGCGCGGTATGCCGTCGGTGTCTGAGTATCGGCTGACACGTCAGATACTGCTGTCGGCCCGGGGAACACTGTACCAGAGTGTCGTCAAACACGGTGCCGCCTGTCGCCGCCTGTCAGGTGAGCAGCTGTTCACGCTCCACGAGGACGAGGTGGCCCGGCTGTTCGCCCGGCTGCTTCTGCACACCATGAAGACGTTCAACCTGGCCGACTTCACCGCCTCCTGGCGGCAGAGCGTGCCCGAGGGTGAGTAGGGTGAACAGTCAGGACTACACCGCCCCCTGACGCCAGAGTGTGCCCGAGGGTGAGTCGGGTGAACAGGCGGGACTACACCCCTTCCCGACGCCAGAGCGTGCCCGAGGGTGAGTCGGGTGAACAGGCGGGACTACACCCCTTCCCGACGCCAGAGCGTGCCCGAGGGTGAGTCGGGTGAACAGGCGGGACTACACCCCTTCCCGACGCCAGAGCGTGCCCGAGGGTGAGTCGGGTGAACAGGCGGGACTACACCCCTTCCCGACGCCAGAGCGTGCCCGAGGGCGAATCATCTCCGTCGCCTGCCTCCCTGGGGGCACGCCGAGACGGGCTCGGTCTGGTCTGGGTATGAGGGCTCAGCCACAATGGATTCCAACCAAACGGGGAATGTTCGGTAATGGCGTCTTGTGGCGGGATCTGAAAGTTGTCTGCCGCCACGCATAGCACTCGCGTTCTCAGATGCATTGAAGACAGTTCCTGGCCGGTTATTTGGGCGCTCTCGAGCTGATTTATAAGGGCGTCTTGTTCGCGGTCTGGTTGGGTATGCTGTGGGGATCATGGCTGCGGTCGGCCTAGTTACGCTCTGGGGATTATGGCTGCGGTCGGGCTGGGTACGCTCTGGGGATTATGGCTGCGGTCGGGCTGGGTGCGCTCTGGGGATTATGGCTGCGGTCGGGCTGGGTACGCTCTGGGGATTATGGCTGCGGTCGGGCTGGGTGCGCTCTGGGGATTATGGCCGTGGTCGGGCTGGGTACGCTCTGGGGATTATGGCTGCGGTCGGGCTGGGTGCGCTCTGGGGATTATGGCTGCGGTCGGGCTGGGTGCGCTCTGGGGATTATGGCTGCGGTCGGGCTAGTTACGCCCTGGGGATTATAGCTGCGGTCGGGCTAGTTACGCTCTGGGGATTATGGCTGCGGTCGGGCTGGGTGCGCTCTGGGGATTATGGCTGCGGTCGGGCTAGTTACGCTCTGGGGATTATGGCTGCGGTCGGGCTGGGTACGCTCTGGGGATTATGGCTGCGGTCGGGCTGGGTGCGCTCTGGGGATTATGGCTGCGGTCGGGCTGGGTACGCTCTGGGGATTATGGCTGCGGTCGGGCTGGGTGCGCTCTGGGGATTATGGCTGCGGTCGGGCTGGGTGCGCTCTGGGGATTATGGCTGCGGTCGGGCTAGTTACGCCCTGGGGATTATAGCTGCGGTCGGGCTAGTTACGCTCTGGGGATTATGGCTGCGGTCGGGCTGGGTACGCTCTGGGGATTATAGCTGCGGTCGGGCGGGGTACGCTCTGGGGATTATGGCTGCGGTCGGGCTGGGTGCGCTCTGGGGATTATGGCTGCGGTCGGGCTGGGTACGCTCTGGGGATTATGGCTGCGGTCGGGCTGGGTACGCTCTGGGGATTATGGCTGCGGTCGGGCTGGGTGCGCTCTGGGGATTATGGCTGCGATCGGGCTGGGTACGCTCTGGGGATTATGGCTGCGGTCGGGCTAGTTACGCCCTGGGGATTATAGCTGTGGTCGGGCTAGTTACGCCCTGGGGATTATGGCTGCGGTCGGGCTGGGTACGCTCTGGGGATTATAGCTGCGGTCGGGCTGGGTACGCTCTGGGGATTATGGCTGCGGTCGGGCTGGGTACGCTCTGGGGATTATGGCTGCGGTCGGGCTGGGTACGCTCTGGGGATTATGGCTGCGGTCGGGCTGGGTACGCTCTGGGGATTATGGCTGCGGTCGGGCTGGGTACGCTCTGGGGATTATGGTTGCGGTCGGGCTAGTTACGCTCTGGGGATTATGGCTGCGGTCGGGCTGGGTACGCTCTGGGGATTATAGCTGCGGTCGGGCTAGTCACGCCCTGGGGATTACAGCTGCCAGCGCGCGGCTTTGTCGGCGTGCCATGCGGTATCCGCGTTATCAACTTCAGATTCTCGTCGAGTATGTTTGGTCAGCACACACTACCATATGGCGACGCGTGTACATGCTGATGCCAATGTTAAAGTGGCTCGAACCCGCACAACCGATTGATAATGGGGAGGTAACTCGATTTTATTAGCGGCGAACTAGCACGAGCGGTCGTGTTGGACGCTGTTGAGCCCTGACGGCGGCCTGACGCGCTGCTGCAGGAGTGACCACCGACCTGGAGCAGCTGCGGGGTCTGGCCGTGGTCAACAGAGAGGCCAGCCCCGAGCTAGTGGTGCGGCTGCAGGCGACCGACCTGCCGGAGGAGGCGGTCGGCCGCTTCCAGGCCCTGTTCGCGATCAAACAGCTGTGGACCGGCGACGAGCTGCTGCCTTATGTCGAGTGAGTGTCGCCCTCTGGCTGAGGGCCTCTGCCGCCGTGGTCGGAAACGCCAGGGCGATGAAAAAAGTGATCGATGCTTCTCTTCATGAAGGGCATCGGCCAGATTATAAAAATTGCTGTTTGAAGTGGAATAACGATTTGTTGTACCTAGGTACTATGTTGATTTTCTGCTGGAGGTTATTCTGGAGAAAAATATTTTAACTTGTTATGCTTGTGCGACCGGGTAACGTTGAAATGGACCCAGCATGTAGAGCGTTGTAGTAGTCCGTAACAGCACCGTGGCCTGTCATTCAAATGCTTAAATACGCTGTCCTGGTTATCCAGATACCAAGTCTATTCTGGGCCGGTTCTGAACTGTAACGGACCGCCGCGCAGACCGCCCGGTTACGCGTGACTTGCCGTGGCCGTGTGTGGCTGCGACTGGAGCGCGGCGTGGCTGCGACTGGGGCGCGGCGTGGCTGGCTGACGTGGGCCGCCTGACGTGGGCCGGTGTTCCAGGGACCTGACGTCGCCCACTCTGAAGCTGGGCTCGCTGCTGGCCAAGCACTGCCGCATGACGGCGCGACGCGGCGTCAAGATGTACGGCCCCAAGCACGGCCACTGACGCCGCTTGGCCGACGGGCAGGGGGCTGTCACTGGCACCGCTCCCCGTGCGCGGCCTACCGCCCCGGCCGGCCGGCGGCGCCGGACCAGCCAGCGGACCGAGTCCGTCTAGGGTACCGCCGTAGGTCTGCCGGACCGCGCCGGGCCGTAGCCGGTGGTGACCGCTGCGGAGCGGCGCGGGTGGCTCCGGCCGGGCGGGGCGCCGGGTTGACCGTCGCTGTGATGCGGTCGGCGCTGTGTGGCGGTCGGCGCCGGGCGGTGCTACGGCACGGCACGGCCGCCGGCGACCGGTCGGCGGGCCCTGCCGGCTTGCGCTCCGTCGTCGGTGTCTGGTGTGGAGCTGTGTCAGACGCCGGTGTCTGGTGTGGAGCTGTGTCAGACGCCAGTGTGAGGCGAGGGGCTCCGTCGTCAGTGTCGGGTGTGGAGCTGTGTCAGACGCCGGTGTCAGGTGTGGAGCTCCGTCGTCAGCGTCTGGTGTGAAGCTTTGTCAGACCCCGGTGTCAGGTGTGGAGCTCCGTCCCCGGTGCCTGGTGTGGAGCTTTGTCAGACCCCGGTGTCAGGTGTGGAGCTCTGTCGTCAGCGTCTGGGTTGGAGCTGTGTCAGACTCCGGTGTCAGGTTTGGAGCTCTGTCGCCAGCGTCTGGGTTGAAGCTGTGTCAGACGCCGGTGTCAGGTGTGGAGCTCTGTCGTCAGCGTCTGGGTTGAAGCTGTGTCAGACGCCGGTGTCAGGTTTGGAGCTCTGTCGCCAGCGTCTGGGTTGGAGCTGTGTCAGACTCCGGTGTCAGGTTTGGAGCTCTGTCGTCAGCGTCTGGGTTGGAGCTGTGTCAGACTCCGGTGTCAGGTGTGGAGCTCTGTCGTCAGCGTCTGGGTTGGAGCTGTGTCAGACGCCGGTGTCAGGTTTGGAGCTCTGCCGCCAGCGTCTGGGTTGAAGCTTTGTCGGACGCCGGTATCTGGTGTGGAGCGCTGTCGTCAGTGTCTGGGCTGGAGCTGTGTCAGACGCCGGTGTCAGGTGTGAAGCTCCCTCGTTAGTGCGTGATGTGGATCTGTGTGAGACACCGGCGTCAGGTGCTGAGTTCCGTCGTCAGCGTCTGGGCTGGTGCTCAGTCAGACGCCGGTGTCAGTTGTGAAGCTCCCCCGTAAGTGCGTGATGTGGATCTGTGTGAGACGCCGGTATCAGGTGTTGAGCTCCGTCGTCAGCGTCTGGGCTGGAGCTGTGTCAGACGCCGGTGTCAGTTGTGAAGCTCCCCCGTTAGTGCGTGATGTGGATCTGTGTGAGACGCCGGTGTCGGGTTTGGAGTTCCGTCGTCAGCGTCTGGGCTGGAGCTCAGCCAGACGCCAGCGCTGGGTGTGCGGCCGTGTCGGACACGGCCGCCACTTGTGGAGCTGCTGGTCGGGGAGGTTGTGGCGCCGGGGCCCTGTGCGCCGTGGTCGGCCGTCGCCTCGCTGGTGAGCAGCGCTCTCTAGCATCAGTCAGAGCCTGCCGTCACTGAGATGTCGGCTGCCTGCAGTGTGTGCGTTCAATCAGCTCTGACCTCAGTGGACGGAGGCTCGTTATTTGGAGCGTAGACGCTCTTTGTAGGATACTAGGAGACATTTGTCGACATTTTGATGGACTTGATGATGTCCACAACGATGTTGGTGGAGTTTGTTCGGCCTTCATTCTTTTTGCGTTTGGCATTAATGCTCGAAGATATAGCGAAGCGTGTGAAACGTCAGCTGCTGCATTTGATCCTTGGGAACAAATAAACGACCGGCTGCGTGTGATGCGTGGTGTTTACGTCGTGGCATGTCGTGATGGACTTCCGCGGAACGGTGTCAGCTTCAAACGACAACAAGGCACTGACATGCTGATGCTCATCCACTAACGCTTCACCGAAGGTACGACACGTGTAGGCGTCATCAGCCGGGGTTCGGACAGCACGGGTTGTAAAGGCGCTGCGCTTTCGCGATTCTTCCCGCTGTTGCGCCACGTTTGGCCGGGAACCCCGAGCATGCCGGCGTTGAGTGCTCGCGCATAGTGAAGCAAGACGGAGCCGTCGCACCTCGCGCCTGCAGCAGCTGACGCTGAGTCAGTTTGTCGGGACACGCTGTCGTTCAGGGTCAGGCGGGCACGGGCAGCGGCGCCGCCAGCGGCCGGGCCGCGGGCCAGGGCGGCGCCGCCGGCCGGCGCGGGCGCGCGCCGGCCGCCGCCGCCGCTGTTGACGGACAGGCAGGTGCGGCACCACCTGCACCGGTCCGAGAGTGGCCGTGACGGACGACTGAGGGAGCTGCGCAGTGGGGGCGCCGGGGGCACGGCGGCGGGGCACTGGAGATGTTTAGCAGATCGGCGTTGCCGCGCCGGACGCGTGGACCCGACGGGCGACGTGGCGAGGACGCGAGCCGCGTCCTTGCGTACGTGTAACAGCGTTGTGCGATTGAACGGAGCTGGCGTGGCTGGCGCCGTGCGTCAAGCAGACCGGGTCGGGTCGGCTGACGGTCCATGATCATGTGGAAGGCCTCCAGCCTCCCGCGCGAGGAGGTGGACCAGCGGCCGGCCAGCCGCGGTCGCCGGCCGCTGCTCTCCACCTCGCTGCTGAGCCTGCACCGCCGGCCGAACCGCAGCGCTCGACTGGCCACCAGTCTGGCCAGCCTGGCTCGCAACGTGGTGGACCTGCGCTCGGATGAGCTCGATCCTGCGCCCCGCAGGGAGGCCAATGCCGTCGCCGCCGCCACCACCTGGCACCAGAAGGTGTACCGCTCGCTGAAGCCGAGGAAGGCGGCGAAGGGCAGCGAGACGCTGGCCTGCTTCCTCTGCACCAGGAGCACGTATAACACCGGCTTCGTGGTCGTGCACGGGGTCCGTCTGCACATCAACTGTCTGCGCTGCGCCAGGTGAGAAAGCCGTCCCATGTATCCAAGCTGTCGGCGTGTACTTAAGTCCTTATCACGAGATGAGACAGTACAGACCATCGGCACTGCGCCAGGCAAGAGATGCGCGGTACTCAGGCAGGTCAGAGATACCGTGCAGCGCCAGGCGGGAGACATTCTGTATGGTAATAAATCCATGTTAGATTTAGAAACATTGTACGAGACATTATCTTAGGAACAATATGTATAATTTAATTTGGAACATTATATGCAACGGTGCAAAGGGCAATACGAATGGTAAGGACAAGAACACGTATGTCCGAGTCCACGTATGCAACGCAACATCAAACATCCATAGTACGGCATAGTACGGCACGGCACATTTATCGTGAGCGATGATGCCTTTCACGTTGTAATCTACGGGAAAACCCAACATTTTTTGACGTCGTATGCCATGTAGATATTCATGTCATGTATAGTTCATGATTTTATCTTAAGGTATAACATAATTTCGGTCGGCTCAATGCAATGCGAAAATTCGGTTTTTCCGCGGTGTAGAGGAAAGCTGCTGGACCCGTAACCCGGTGTCACTAGGTGCGAGTCTCAGAGCAGAGCTGGTGCATTGTTTGACCCGACTGAAATGGAAAGGTCAGCTGGCAACTGGCCAACGAGGGTTAACGCAGGCTCGGATCTGTTATACTGCAGCATTGTGCGGCTCCTAAAAGCCCCGCATTCCTGTCTGGCGAAAGAGTGAAAACAAAATTATCCGTTGGACAGGACGGCGCAACCTGGGTGGTGACGTTCGGGGAACACGTAACAAACTATGCTTAACATTTTCTCCTTACCCAAAACCACCCATGCAAAATACTTGTAATCAATTTACTTTAAAAAAGCTTAGCGTGAAGACAATTATTTGGAGCACCTTATGATGGCAACGCAGAAAGATGCACAATTAAATGCAAATGCCTTTCACCTGCTAAACGCACACGACATACGGAGCTCAGCATAACACTCGATTCTATCGTAACGCGTGACCACTTCAAAGGCCCGAGCAATGCCAAACCTGCTAACGGACACCGGGCGGCTGGCGCAGGCTCTGGGGCTCTCGCCGCATCTCCCGGTGGCCGCCCTCCGCGCGCTGTCGGCAGAGTCGGTCCGAGCCGGCGGCGGCCGCTCGGCTGCGGCCGACAACAGGACGCGGGGGAGGGCAGACCGGATGCCCAGCTCCGGCCGATAGGATGCTGCGCCGTCCGGCCGCGCCCCAGCGGTCGCGGTGGCGCGGCCACAGTGTGGTGAGGTCACCCGACGGTGGCAGAGCGCCGACCGGGCCGACGCCGAGCTGCCATCTGTGCCGAAAATCGATCGTGAACTCGGTCCGGAGGGTGCTTGCCGGCCGCGGGTTAGCACGCGAGCGGACGGCGCCGCTGAGTGCTCGTAGTGATCTCTCGGTCGGCGTGGTCTTCTGCGGACGCCGGCCGTGCGCAGCCAGTGACCCCGATGGAGGGTCGGAGGTCGCGGAGGGCGGTGGAGCGGGGCCGCCCGCCGCGGCCGGTCAGCGTGGACGGCCGAAGCCACAACAGCCTGGTGCGTCGCGCGTGCCTAAATAGCGCCCGCTTCTCCCTCGACCTGCCCCCGGCCGAGCCGGTCAGCGCTCCGCTCACCAATTTCGAGCGTCAGCTGGACGAACCGCGCGCGCCGGCCGGTGTGCTGCGCCGCTCCAGCTCGGTCCCGCGCTCGCTCAGCGTGCTGGACAGCGCCGGTGGCGGCGCGCCGCGGCCGGCCGGCGAACCAGGCGCCGCCTACCGGAGCCACTTTCTGCTGCGCGAGGACCGCCGGGCGCTGCTGCGGCCGGCCCAGGAGCGAATGCAGCGGCAGCGCAGCCGCCTGCTGGAGACGCTGCCGGACATGCTGGCGGTGGGCGGCGGCTGGGCCGGCCGGCGGGCCCCCGAGGCCTTGGTGGAGGCGGACGGCGGTGTGCGACTCCGCTCCATGGTACGCCCGATGGACTGGGACGGCCTGCCCTTGACTGCCAGTGGGGCTGCACAAGGACGGGCGGCGACCAGGTCGCTGGAGGTACCCTCCACAGTCCGATCCAGCTCCCTGGAGGCGACTGATGGTAACGCGCAGACAACACAGCCGCAGTAAGTGTACGGGTGCTGGGACGTTGGCGCCGTTCTGGGCGCGATGTTCGGCTATATGTAGCATGCGACGCAGAGAAGGCCCAGCACTTCTTAAGGCTGCATCAGTGGCATTGTTCTCACACACCGGCACAACAGCCTTAGTGGACATTTTTAGGAGCCATTGTAAACTTCTGAACACTCTAACTGGGTGGCCTGACACCTTGGCAGTAAAAGAAACGAACCATCCTAGAGACATCTGAAGGCATCAACGGCGTAACACGTTGTGAGGTGATTAAAACGGGCATAAAGCCAAAAGCAAGTGGCAGCTTAAGACAACACTGCAAGACAATGTGTTCATTGTCCCACAGAGGACAATGAACGGGGGAACGCCGCCGGTTAGAGGCGAGCCCTGGCGTGGCTCTGTAGAGACGCGAAGCTCGTCCCGGGCCGGTGCGGCAGCTCGACGAGGCGAAGCGGGCCCGCCCGCCGGTGGAAGGCCGCGGTGGGGAGGGCTGGCCGCTGAGGGCCGTTGATTGGCGACTCTGCGACTGCCATTCTACCACAAGCTCCTGAACTCGGCCTCATTGCCACGGCTGAGTGTCCCTCATGCGGGCAACACCAGTGTTGGGCTGGTGTCCCGGGTGCTGCCCAATCATGATCTGCCGGCTCTGCTGCCCTCTACTGATGAACTCATCCTCATTGCCACAGCTGAGTGTCCCTCAGGTGAGCGACACCAGTGTTGGGCTGGTGTCCCGGGTGCTGCCCAATCATGATCTGCCGGCTCTGCTGCCCTCTACTGATGAACTCAGCCTCATTACCACATCTGAGTGTCCCTCATGTGGGCGACACCAGTGTCGGGCTGGTGTCCCGGGTGCGGCCCAATCGTGAGCTACCGGTTCTGGTGCCGTCTGGTGGCGCATTGCGTGCCCAAGTGTGTTCTGCGTCGTGGGCTTCAGTATCTTTACCAGGATGTTGTTATTTTGGTACAATCCGTATGCGTGACGAAGGCATCTCATGTAAAATTATCAAGGGCGTAGCTCCGCCAGATCGTAGAATGGATAATGAAGATATCGCACATCGCTGGCCATCTACCTGTGAATACCAATTTGGCCACTGACCCTATTTCTCGAATCGGAATCGATGAAGTAATAGAGCTCCACCCTGGCAAGAGTGTCTAAAGCTCATTGCTGCCCATATAGTGTAGACAGCACTATGCACCAGGCCCCGTCACTCTTGTGTTAGTGAACGGGCCCTCGGGGAATATGCACCCGTGAATGATAGCGCACATTTTTTTCGTCTTTTCCGTTCCTCCAGCGAGCTTCGCGCATCAACAATATGGGTTCATCCGATTCAGGAGAAGAGCGGCGCTGTAGGAAAGAGCACGGCTCCGGCTGTGCTGGCCCCGCTACCACGGTCTGGGCAGCGGGCTCTCTGTCCCGCTGACAGTGCCTGGCAATACGCGGGACGGGCTTGTGGGGCACGGAACACACGCCAGCACCACGGCCCGGGCAGCGGGCCCTCTGCCCTCCTGGCGGCGCCAGGTCACACGTGGGACGGGCTTGTGGGGCACGCAACACACGCCAGCACCACGGCCCGGGCAGCGGGCCCTCTGCCCCCCTGGCGGCGCCAGGTCACACGCGGGGCGGGCTTGTGGGGCATGCAACACATGACAACGGATTTGCGTGGCTCCATCTCATGACTTACTTTAATCATATTTTCTTGCGATCATATTTTTGATTTACCGTTGTCTGCATCAAGCTAACGCTAACCTGTCAGGCCGATGGAGGCACGGATTGCTTCGGCTTGGTGTTCATCTGTCATCTGTCGAATACGCGGACGGTTATGTTGTCCAGACTTCGCACGTAGACAGAGCGCTGCATTACTGCGACTCGGTCCTGACGGAAGTCCAATGTCTGAGCCTGTGTCGTTCCCTTTCCCTATTGTTTTACTTGCAAGCCGTTTGACCTCGGTGTAGTTTAAATATGTTGCATTACTTCTCAGAACACCTCCGGTTTGGCCGTGCTGCGACAAGCCGTCCCATCCAAACACTATCCTGTATGTTGGTCTATTTTTGTCTTTACTGGCATCGTTCACACGTCAAAGGTACATAACGCACAGTTGAAGGCATTCCGTAAAACGTGGAACACGCAAATAAAACACGGCAGTCACATAAAGAGTAAGCAACTGAACACTACACGTAGTGTGCGCTATAAAGTGTTTGAAGACTTGGTCTAAAAGTGCTTTACTACCATCAGGAAAGCTGTTTACAGTAGCACGGCAAGCTTTAAAGGCATTTTGGACATTTGGTGGTTACAAAGAACAAATCAGCCAGAACCCTGTTTGCTCTCCCTCGTGGCGTGACAGCCAATGCAGTTGATTTAGGTTATTCAGTGTCCATAACTAGGGCAACCAGTCTGTAAGAGTGTCCTTAGGGTACGCCCTTTGGGTAGGCACACGTAAATGGCGGCATTAGGGCAAAGGGAGTCTAATTGTTCTTAAACAACGTTTCGCACAAACAAATGCAAAATAAAATAAAAAGCCGATCATCGAAACCCAAGACCGGTTATCAAAATCCAAAATAAATTACGAAATCCAAAGCCAAAGCGAATGAAATACTGTCCCAACATTGGTCAAAGCACGGCTAAATAAGCAGCCAGAAATATCCCTCGGTTTGCTTCGGACCGGTTGGAGCTGACTTGAAAGCATTGTACGATGATACCTACTACCCGATTGATGCGAGTGGTCGTGCTGAAAATTGGGCAGCAAAGGCAATTTTTGAGTTCGTATGTGGAGGGGGGGGGGGGGGGGGAGAGCACCCAACTCGTGGTTTCTCGCACGTTTTACTGTTTGGTTTGCACTGACTGATAATACTTGACCTGGACGTGGCCACGCATGATGCTCATGCCGAGCGGGCTGTATCCTATTAAGCGTGGAGTTTGAAAAACAAAGTAAAGTAAAGTAAAGTGAAGCCTCTGGTGGACCAGATCAGATGGCCGGCCTGATGGCCAGGGGATGGTCGCCTTTTGCCGGATCACGCAGTCAAGCACTGAAGACGCCCTGTCGCGGCCGCGGGCGGTCGCATGGGAAGATAAAGTTAAATGGAAACCGTTGACATAATCGGCGTGCGGAGGCAGCAGGCCTCAATGGTTTATAGGAAGACGTTAACAAACAGTGAAAATGGTGCTTAAGCCTGAAGCAATGTTTCCGGGAAATCGGAATCCACCGATTTCGGTCGGAAGTTTTCGAGGCTGATCGTCTCTTGATCTTTCCCCAATGCCGTTACTGTGAGTCTAGTACGCGGCCACACTATCTCGGCTGCTATCCGTCATGCTATGTCGGGTATTGCCTGCTTCGAGACGTCTTACGACATTGGCTGTGCTTCTTGGCATTCTACCTAAGTGCACATCGGTCTCAGCAAAATGCTGAATGGCGGGGCTAGCCCGATGGCTGACCCTGACCTGGCCGGCTGGCAGTGCTGATGCGCCGACGGTCTGGGCAACGACGCGGCTTGATGCGTTCCCGAGCATCTTAAGTTGCGTTGGGGGACCTAAGTGACAGAGCATTAGAACATCACTTCTTTGGACCGATGACTGGGATTGACGTCGCTTCCTTTTCAGGTGCCAGATTCTGCTCGAGGTCGGGGACTGCCAGATCAGGTCAGTCCAGTGGGCTCACCAGAGCCCAGGGGTGCAGCTGGGTCGGAGCGGGGCAAAGCCAGAGGTGTCATAACCGGGCGGGCGGGAGGAAAGGAAACAAAGCCTCGCAAGTTGTAGTTGTGTGGAACGATGGAGACGAATTAATATCACGGATGGAATAATTTGCGGTCTATCACGTCTGACGTGAAGAACGTAGGCAACGCTTCGGCCAGACAATTACACGGCCGTCATGGAATGTTACTGAACGGTGAGAAGGATTTGATGACGTTTGCTGCTGATGCATGTGCGTGTAACAACCCAAATCCTCTCATTGGAGTGGCTAGGATTCGAGCCGGGGTCTGATGATGATGGATCTCGAGCTGTTCCTTCTGGGCCTACGGGAAAGGAGAGTCCATTGGCGTTAGAGCTCGGTGTCATTCATCTCCTGGATGTTTGGGTGTTTTTCCGCAGAATTGGTCTGGTGTCTACGCTTGACTTACTAATGGACTTGTTAGACAATGCCATGTGTGCTGCCTCTGAACTACGGCACAAACGGACGGAACTAAGGCGTTACGTAGTTAGCAATGTGCTCAAGGCGGTTGGAGACGCATTCTCATCACGTCGCCCCACTTTTGTCGAGTTTCTGAGCTCCCGAGCATACTAAGCACATAAGCTGATCCGCAGCGGCAGTTTTAAGTGTGGATGATTATGCACGCTGTTCGCGAAGCGTTCTCGGCTGGTCGACAGCTGCAGCACAAGCCTTGCACGCCGAGAAGAACTATTCGTGTCAAGGTACTTACAAGGATATAAGCTCGAAGTAAGCAAACGCACAAGATCAGGCAGGACGGAGTTAGGAACTGCGTAAGTCTGCAGTTCATTGTGCTTCAGCGGAATCTATTTCCACTCGGCGCACGCTGCATGGTGCTTATTCTGTCTCGGACTCCGGGCAGTGGAGTCACGTTAGTCTACCCCGACCACCCCGAACGATGGGAGAGACCCACTTCCTGACTCTATTCTGATGGAGTCTGTTCCTGTGACAGCGGCCTAAAAGATAAACTATCATATGAGCTTCCAAATGCAGACAAATGCTATTAAGGCTTGCGTATTTATTTCGTTAACAACTGATGGCAACGCCATTCGATCTGGTGGGCATGCAAGCTGTCAAGCTATTATCGCTATCTGTAACCTGTAACCTGTTGTTGGCATGTCTCGTTCAGTTAATAACCATAATTTGGTTGATTCCTCTACACTCTGACTAAAATTATGTTGAACCCAATCAATTTCAGCCTGGCTCCACAAAGACAGGTTTGACTCCTGAGTCAGTCTTAACAGGAAGAGAAGTCAAGTGCAGGCTTGGGGCCAAGCGGAGTGAAGTGCGGGCTTGGGGCCAAGCTGAGTGAGGTGCAGGCTTGAGGCCAAGCTGTGACTTCTCTGCGGCTGATTTTTTACACGGTCCGCGATACGCTCTCTGTCGGTGGCTAGCTGCAATGCAGTTCTTGCACGGAGGATGGGTGCGGCACTAGGAAGTATTGAATGCACGTGCTACCATCCGTCACTGTCTCCAAGGTCACGGATCTTTTTGAGTGCCCACGTTTCCACTGATGCTCAAATTAAATTAGATGTTCTGCTAGCATATAACTTTTGTGAAAAAGTCGCAAGTCATTTTATTCCGGATAACAGGCAGTCTTTGCCCTCTCCGGTACCCTCCTTACAAGAATAACGGCACTCTGGTCCCAAAGGCAACTACGCGTGTAAAATCGGTGCCAAAGGACATACTGCGAATTTGGCATTCCGAAACAGGCCTTGAAATCGTTGACCGAGAATGTGTTATGCAGCAGCACGCGCGGTAACAGCGGGGCACCGCCTCTACCAGCGTCGCACCGAGTCGGTCTGCACGCACACTTATGCGTCGGTATGACCCACATTCGCCGCGCACCCTCGCCCTCTCGGCCCGATCGATCTCAGTATGGGAAATCTGACACTGGTGCAGCATCCAGCAAGGTCGCGCTCCGGCGTCACGCAGGCGGCCGTCGGGCGATTTTGGCTCTTGTGGATGGCGCACCCAAGGCCCAGTGCATCGATTCGGTGGCGGGCGGCGGGCCAGGAACAGCTGTGCGCTACTGCCCTTCCAGTCGAGGCGGCGCCGTCGGGGGGCAGGTGAGTGCCCTGGGGGCGATCGAGGCAACCGAATGAATGAGCTGTGACTTTCGGATGTAGGGCGAGGGTTGGGAGGGCGCTGGAGCGAAAGCTCGGGTGGAGGGGTAAGGGATCTGTGCTACCGTTGTTAATATTTGTGTTGCGATGCTTGTTTTTCGACAGTGGGGTCCGCTGTGTGGTGTGAACAGCGCTGTACTCATAGGTATCTGGGGGTCTGTCGTGCGCACGGTGATGCTAATGCATTGCTGTGCTTTATTGTTTTGCTCTTCATTCTCAAACAAGTCGAGCTCCATCTATGTCATGTTTTCATTTTCCCTGACATTTGCTTTTTGGTCCTTTGCCAAAATCGGACTTGCAAATGTATCAAAGGCCGTAAAGGACCGCGTTTTGGCAGGCACGCTACTTTATTTTGATGTCACTTGAATGTTTTGCGCTTCTCGCGCATATCCGATTATTTTAAATTGCATCCTTCAAGAACCGGTGTTAACCAACAAGTCTGTACGCAGCGCATTCCTTGACATATTGATTTTTTATGACAATTCTTTAGAAATTGGGAGTCAGTCTTCCAAGTGTATTCGAATGTAAGCGCAATGATCACGTTTGGTATTCCTGCTACATCGCAGTGTATTCTCAGATTCACAAACCTTACTCAACGAACCTAGGAGCGAAAATTGGCTCCACAAAATAATAAACAAAACAAAATAAAATAATAACAAAACCAAATAAAATAAGCAAAAGAGCGCATTATGGTATGTGCACAGACGTGAGCCGGCGTTTTCGGCATGCCACTCGCACTGAAGCGCTAACTAATAGATCTACCGGTTTGCTGTTGCTTTTTTTGTCTTCTCAGCATTCACGCCAGACTTCGGCTACTAGAGCATATCAGGACTTGAGGGTAACTGTGTGGTGTAGGTGAACGTGCCGTAAACGCTGTAAAAAAATAGCTGACTACAACGCGATCAACAAAGTCCTGAAAAATGCAAACCTTGCGTACGTTCTAAAATATCGTCACCTTTCTAAGCCCAAACCAGGAAGTGCCCTGTTATCCAAGCCGTAACGAACTATGCCCCGACGTCCGACAAATTAAACACAAACCCCGGGGTGGCCAGTCACCACGTGGTCGGAGCTGGTGGCTGAAGCTGCAGCGTGAGTGTGTCGAACGGCCGAGCACACCGCGACAAACTCCGGACTGAGCATAGATGTATCGCCCAGCTCAGCTGCATGCTGCCTATGCTGAGTCAATACAAAAGGTTGGCATACTCAGCGGACCACAACAATCACGTTTAGTGTTGATGTCTGTGAACTGTCGCTAGTGGGGACTATATCTGAATTGTTGTATGCAAGTCGTTTGGAAAGTAAACGGTGCTGACGGAGTTCGTGTTAAAAGCTACGGTTTGATACAAAAGATGCCAGAATCAAGGCTGCCTGATGATACATGGGTAGATACAAGCTTTGAAATTTTTCAAAACATGCGTTTATTTTTGTTTACGTTTGTGAAATTGTGTTCGCTGCACACAATTTGTAAGTGGATGGCAGGACAGCCGGATGCGGGCTGCAAAAAAAAAAACAGCATGATTATCCTGCAGAATTGGTGGCCTTTGCAAACGACACGCACTAGGCTGACAATTAATTCCTCATCACCCAATCACGCTTTTTCATCTTCTGATAGTTTTGTTGTTGCCTGGTCCTCCGGGACTTGTCTTCTTCACCGATGACCTCTCCTGCGACGATGTGTCCTGTTCCTGCCGTGGACTTACGTCAGCGAAAGTACGAAGGTGTAATTAGATACAAGTCCCTTGTCAATTCGATCAGTTGCGTCCAAACAATCGAAGACCGTTACACAGCCACTTCACTTTGCGCCGCACGCCACCAAACACGTGCGGATTGCTGCAACGGCGTACGTTCGAGCGCTATACAACGGCGCACGTCCACGAGTAGCGTGCGGGGCCTCGTGCGTGTGAGCTTAATGAGCGCGGTGCCAAGGTTTGTGTCGTGTCATTTGGGCCTTTACGACACACTCAGCTGCTCAGGCTTTATGGCGTCGCCTGCCTCTCACCCTGGCAGGAAGAGCGTGTACGTGCGGCATGAAGCGGCATAGCTCTGGTTTTTTAGACGTTAACGCAGACGCGTTAACTTTTAAACTATTGGCACCCTACACCCTACACTATGGGCACCAAGGTTTGTCAAATCATTGGATGCGTATTGAAACATCTATTGTTCATGACGTCAAACGGTCAAAATGTAAGAAATCGCTACATACAGCGGCCATAGCATGCACAAATCGTCCTATGGCTGTGGACAAGGGAGAATGGCAATACCCAAGCTCGCAACATCCAAAATGGCAGTTTCAAAGCTCATAACATCCAGCGTTCATGACGTTCAAAAATTGGAGAACAGTGTCAACCAAAACTTATCAGCTGGACATCGTGATCACTGGATGTTGTGAACATTGGATGTTTTGACATTGGACGCTGCACGCTTGAATGCTACAAACCCAGGCAATGAGGACGGTTTAGACGCATTTGGGATGCTATGAATGCTGGGGTTTAAATATGAGAACTGGATACCACCATCTTCGATGCTTTAAATTATCGTAATGGCGAACGCTAAAACATTGCAGAAAATGGCCTCAGCATGAACCCGTTCCTTGGCGCAAAACCTTGCAAAGTGAACGAACTAAGTACTGCTGCAAAAGCAGGTTCTCTTTCCTATCAGCTAAACCAAAACAAACCAGCTTAATACGCATCCGGGCGGTCGGTAGCATTCCCTTCGCTCGAGTGGGAGGGGGTCAATTTGACTTCTGAGATCTTGGAAACTAAGAGACCTAAAGGCACCAAGTTCACAGGGTGTGTTGGTTTGTACGTAAGCTCTCATATGCCAAAATTTTCAGTTCCAAGGTCATGATTTTTGGGTCATCTTACGTCACACAAGGTCAAA